GGCCCGCCCAAGACCGACCTCATGGCCTTCAGCCCCAGCCTACCTCAGGGTCCCAGCTCTGCAGGCACCGTGAGTCTCAAAAATAATTTTCACAATAATTTTCGTTTTAAATCTTTAATATTTATTATTTCCCTCCATCTTCTTATCTTTATGTTTTGGTTTTTTTGAGAGTGAATGAGTTTATCAGCTCTTTCCTGAGAACAGCTTTTTCAGAAAGAGGGTGAAGGGGTGCACAAAACGGTACCGAGCTGCTGGCGGAGCAGCAGGCCAAGGAAGGGAGAGGCAAAGAAAGCAGGGAGACAGGGCACACGGAAGACACAGTGCAGCTCCTGGACAATCTGGCCCGACGAGCCTCAGCAAACTGGCAGGCCCCAGGGACTGAGGTGCGTGGCTCCAGGCCTCAGTGAGGGAGGGACATCACAGGCATTTAATTATGGTTTTATACTTGATTATTATCTCATCATTTCAGATGTAAGTTCTGTATTGGTACTAATTCATTTACTTAAAATTACAGTTATGCTTAGAATTCATTTTAATTTGTTGCAGATAATCGCTTTGCAGTAATGAATATATTTCAGTAACATTCCCTTTTTTAAGGTTTTCAAAGTTGGCGTGAATGGATTACTTTTCTTTGCATGATAGAAATTGTTTCCTAAATCAAATTTTAATTTTTCAGTCTTTAGGAAATATTGTAGGGAGATACTTGTATGACATATTTGGAGTTATTTACCTTCAAATCTCATATTGCAACTGCATTGAAATGTTTTAACGTAGCTATGTCACTTTGCCTTTTCTTTTCCATTGAATATCAGTTATTTTAGTATTTTTATTACACCAAATTATTTTCCTTTTTATGTAATATTTGTACACTGAATCATTCTTTTAAGGTTTCTCTAAACGGTTTTTTTTCTCATACTTATGATGAATTTGATATTTATGATTATTTTTTAACTGTAGTGGTTTCATTTATCTTTGAATACGAAATACACTTACATGGTTTACAATGTTACCCTTCCACCTCCAATATCAAGCCACTTAATATACCTCCTTGTACATTTCTAAGGTTTTTTTTGTTTGTTTCTTTCTTTTTAAAGTAATATCTACACCCAAGGTGGGGTTTGAACTCACAACCCTGAGACAAGAGTCACAGGCTCTACTGACTGAGCCAGCCAAGTGCCCGGTCTTCCTTGACTATTTCAAACGTTGCAATTTCTTGATTATCTTTCCACAGATATTTTCTTTATATACAAATAAGCACCCCTCTTCTATTTTAAAACATAATAGTCATATCACTTTTCCTCTGTCTGTTTTACTTAATATATCTTGATAATCATGATGTATCAGTACTTGAGGATGTGTCACATTCCTTTTTCCAGATTTATGGTACCCCACTTTGCAGATATATCCTAATTTTTTCCCTTACCCTAACATCAACATTTAGTGGAACAATGATTAGTTTTTCTTTAACTTGCATTTTTTTTCAATTGACAAATTATTATATTGCTAAGAAGCAATTTTGAGCTCTCACAGTTGGGAAAATCTTAACATATTCAAATTAGATATTATTGGTATGTTTTGTTTTTGTTTTTTTTATGATGTTATATATCAGTTATATTTCAATTTTAAAACTGCACACCAAGGGGCGTCTGGGTGGCTCAGTTGGTTAAGCATCTGCCTTTGGCTCTGTTCATTATCCCAGGGTCCTGGGATGGAGCCCCACATGGGGCTCCCTGCTCGGCAGGGAGTCTGCCTCTCCCACTCCCTCTGCCCCTCTCCTCAGGCTCCTGCTTGTGCTCTCTCTCTCTCTCCCCCTCTCAAATAAATAATCTTAAAAAAATAAAAACACACACCAAATTTCAAAGATAGTACAAAACTAAAAATGAAATATATTTCATCAATACTTTCAAAAGTAGTATTTACATGTTGAAATGGTAATATTTGGGATACATTCAGTTAAATAAAATATACTATTAAAATCTCATCTACTTGTTTTTACTTTTTAAGAATGTGGCAACTGGGGTGCCTGGGTGGCTCAGTCGGTTGTGTGTCTGACTCTTGGTTTTGGCTTAGGCCATGATCTCAGGGTCTTGGGATGAGCCCTGCCTCAGGCTGGGCACTGAGCGAGGAGTCTGCTTGGGATTCTCTCTTCCTCTCCCTACTCTCCTCCTTCTCTGATCCCCCCTTGCATTCTCTCTCTCTACTAAAAAAAATGGGGCTACTAAGGGACACCCTGCTGGCTCAGTAGGTAGAGTGCATGACTCTTGATCTCAGGGTTGTGAGTTTGTGTATATATATATATTTTTTTGTATATTTACATATACCACATATTCTTTATCCACTCATCTTTTAATGGTCACTTGAGATGCTTTTGTAATTTGGCTATTGTAATTAATCTGCAGTAAACATAGGGGTGCATATATCCCGTCAGCACAGTATTCATATTCTTTGGGTAAATACCCAGTAGTGGAATTACAGGATCATATGGTAGTTCTATTTTTAATATTTTGAGGAACATCCATACAGTCTTCCATAGTGGCTGCGCCAGTTTGCATTCTCACCAACAGTGCATGAGGGTTCCTTTTTCTCCATATCCTCGATAACACCTGTTGTTTTTTGGGTTGATTTTTTTAATTTTTTAAAAGATTTTATTTATTTATTTGACAGAGAGAGATACAGCGAGAGAGGGAACACAAGCAGGGGGAGTGGGAGAGGGAGAAGCAGGCTTCCCGCGGAGCAGGGAGCCTGATGCGGGGCTCGATCCCAGGACCCTGGGATCATGACCTGAGCCAAAGGCAGACGCTTAACGACTGAGCCACCCAGGCACCCCTCTTGTGTTGATTTTAGCCATTCTGACAGGTGTGAGGTGATATCTCATCGTAGTTTTGATTTGCATTACCCTGAGGATGAGTGATGTTGAACATCTTTTCATGTGTCTTTTGGCCATCTGGATGTCTTCTTTGGAGAAATACCTGTTCATGTTTGCCCCTCCCCACCGCTTGCTTGTGCTCTCTCTCTTGCTCTTCTGTCTCTTTCTCTCAAAATAAAAAAATAAAAACAAAATATTTAAAAAAGAGAGAACCATAGAAGGGGGGGAGGAAGATGTGGGTTCGGGAATACCTTCAGTGAAAGTCTTATTTGAAACATTGGAAGTGGATGAGAAGACTTAAAGGAAAGCATATACAAAGTTGAGATTGAGAGAAAAGGATGAGCTCATTTGGGAGCAGCTGAAGGATCAGAGCATCAAAGAATTGTGGGTAGATATTCCATGAGAATTTGCAGTGGTGAAGTATGTGAAGGAAAATGTTTAGAGGGGGAGGAGAAGGGAATTTAGAAATGCTGTAAAGAATATGCACTAAAGCTTTCTTCCATTATTAAGTAAAAGAAACAGGCTTGGGAGTATTTGATATTCATCAAATAAAGAAAGAATGGACTTCAATAATCTATAAAGTGTTAAAAATGTGGATAAAATTTGTTAATTTAAAATTACAGTCCATTCTTTCTCAGAGCAAAATATAATACATGTCCTATAACAGAAATATATGCACATGTTTCTTCTCTACACAAGGAGTGTAGTATAGCTTGCACTTCTAATTCACAAACCTACTTCAGATCACAAATTTTCTGAATTGGTTGATAGCAGTAAATTATTGGGAGAGAAGTTGTGTTGCTATGAATTATCTGATCCCTCACCCTACTCTAAATTAATAAAAGAAATTAGACGAGATGAAACTGGCTCTGCAAATTACGAACATAAGGAGATTTACTATTAAAGTAAGGCAAAATAAGAATTTCTTTAATTTAAAGGACTACAGCTTAGCGCGGTTATGTGAATTCATTTCTTACCCTTTGTAGCCGCATGATGTCGCTGTCTACCATGAAGTCAATCTAGTCATTACAGTATGCAAAATCCATTCCTCTTATTACTGATTAGTTTCACCAGTGCTCAGTGATGGCAGGCGCAGAAGAATTGGATTAACAGACTCGGGATCATACAGATTTTATCCTAATTGCGAGGCAAGATCTTCTGATGGAAATAAAACAAGTATTTGACATGGTTATTACCCTGGAGGGCCGACTGGGATATCAGTATCTGCTGCTATCCCTTCTGCTCCTTGCAGCGTGGGAGGAGGGCAGCGGCCAGGTTCAGTACTCGGTCGCCGAAGAGTCCAAACACGGCACCTTCGTGGGCCGCATCGCCCAGGACCTGGGGCTGGAGCTGGCAGAGCTGGTGCCGCGCCTTTTCCGGGTGGCGTCCAAAGGCCACGGGGACCTTCTGGAGGTAAATCTGCAGAATGGCATTTTGTTTGTGAATTCTCGGATCGACCGGGAGGAGCTGTGCGGGCGGAGCGCGGAGTGCAGCATCCACCTGGAGGTGATCGTGGACAGGCCGCTGCAGGTTTTCCATGTGGAGGTGGAGGTGAAGGACATTAACGACAACGCGCCGGTGTTTCGTTTAAAGGAACAAAGAGTGCTGATTTACGAATCAAGGCTGCCAGATTCTATGTTTCCACTAGAGGGCGCGTCAGATGCGGATGTTGGCTCCAATTCCCTCTTAACCTATAAACTCAGTTCTAGCGAATACTTCGCCCTAGATGTGAAAACAAACAGTGATGACAATACACAAATTGGTCTCGTGTTAAGGAAATCCTTGGACAGAGAGGAAGCTCCCGAACATAACTTACTGCTGACAGCCACTGACGAAGGCAAACCTGAGCTCACTGGCACTGTTCAGCTGCTGGTCACTGTGCTGGACGTGAATGACAATGCTCCCAGTTTCGAACAAACTGAATATGAAGTAAGGATCTTCGAAAACTCGGGCAACGGAACAATGGTCATCAGACTGAATGCTTCTGATCGGGATGACGGAGTGAATGGGGAAATTTCATACTCTTTTAATAGTCTTGTTCCAACCGTGGTTAGAGACCGGTTTAAAATAGATCCAAATACTGGAGAAATAGTAACTAAAGGGAATTTAGATTTTGAAAAATTGAATTTATACAAAATTCGTGTTGACGCGACGGACAAAGGCCACCCACCCATGGCTGGACATTGCACTGTTTTATTGAAAGTTTTGGATAAAAATGATAATGTCCCTCAGATTGCATTGACTTCCTTATCCTTGCCTATCCGAGAGGACGCTCAATTAGGTACTGTCATCGCCCTGATCAGTCTGTCCGACCGTGACTCTGGTGCCAACGGGCAGGTGACCTGCTCACTA